TAGATGCATGTTTAGGCTTCAGCCACCCATAATCTTGTATGTTTACACACACTCAGTACTTTATATGCAGTGTTTTGTGTTATCACTCATCACATCTCTTCAACCTTAGGCCAATTTAAAATGTATGAATAACTCTCCTTAGTACTGTGGTTTTGATGGCTTTTCTTCTTACAAAACAATTATTGTTGGTTTTGAATATAGTGGTAAAAGTTATTAGGGTCACTATTCATTCAACTCACTTGTTATTACTCTACTGTGTATTTATTAATATTTGCCCTCCATTTTTCCTCTGTTTCTTCTGTGTATGTTCTCCTACTGGTTCATAAGCTCTCTGAGTTAGGAACCTGGCTTATACGTGCTTCACCATAGTCCTTGTTAAAAAAAATTACCCAAAATTTGTAAATAAAAAAGGTGTGAAGCAAACAACATGTATGTTTGATGTCATAGTAAAGCTTTGTTGAACATGCCTGCCCAAGGATTATTTAATTATCTAAAAGAATGAAGGAAAACAATAGGATTGAATCAATAAGTCAACACTGAAGCATTGTAATCTGTTATTTTAACAGCTTTATTGAGATGTATTTCGCAGACCATAAAATTCATCCATTGAAAGTATATAGTTTGGTGTTTTTTAGTATATATTCACAGAGTTGTACAACCATCATGATTTAATTTTTAGAACATTTTCAATACCCCAAGAAGGCCATCTATTACTGATTAAACTCTCAGCTCTGTGAAGTTCCACAACTTGTAGATTTTCATTCAGAGGAGATGCAAATGATTTCTGTTTAGTGGAAATGATAACCCCAAAGGTTATGATTTTATTACACTGTAAACATTTAAGCAGTTTTATTTCTAACTTGGTAACATTATTCCAACATTCTTTCTCCAATGCCAATGCCTGTTCTTCTAATTCTCCATTGTTTATTTATTTATTTATTTTTTAAAAGTTTTCAATTAGCAATTATCACGCCTCGGATAAACCTCTTTGGCTATGATACTGCCACTGTGCAAAGCTTCTAATTCTCCTTTGAACTAGCTTTACCATGCTGGTTCCCCCATTATTAAGTTAATTAAATCCTTAACATGTGTTCCTTCTATATTTGTATGAGAAAATGGTTTAAAATTTTTGAAACATATGTTGACAGCCTGAATGCTCTTAGCATAATAATGGGCACGTAGTAGGCAATCAATAACTATAGCTTGGCCTGGTGCAGTGGCTCACGCCTGTAATTCTAGCATTCTGAGAGGCTGAGGTGGGAGGATCACTTGAGGCCAGGAGTTTGAGACCAGCCTGAGCAAAAGGGAGATCTCATTTCTACTAAAAATAAAAAAAATTACCTGGTTGTGATGGCACAGGACTGTAGTCACAGCAACTTGGGAGGTTGAGGCAGGAGGATCACTTGAGCCCAGGAGTTTGAGGTTGCTGTGAGCTATGATGTTGTCATTGCAATCTAGCCAGGGCAACAGAGCAAGAATATGCCTGAAAATAGATAAATCAATCAATCGATTGATCAATCAATAAAGAAAGAAAGAACGAATGAATTGTGTCTTGATTGATACGCAATCTGTCAGATTTTAAACTTTGGGAGGAGAGAATAAATTTGCACAAGGTTTTAAGGAAAAATCAGAAAATGAATTTTGAATGATATTTTGTACTTTTGTTCTCAGATTCTGAATTTTGTGCCAGAAAGAGTTAAATTTGAATGAAGCTATTTATTTGCTTCTTTTCTATATCAAAGCTTGAATCAATAAATAGCCTAAGAATATAAATTTACTGGCATAACATTTTTTGTAAATCTTTAAACTTAAAATGTTATTTCTTTCTGTGTAAGTAGTATATGCAACGGAACAAAATCTGAAAGGTATAAAAGGAATATCCTGGAAAACAAAGTCTCCATCCTGCTGTTCCCCTCCTACAGCAACTTGCCCCAAGGTAGCTCCTGTTACCAGTTTCTTGTGCATCCTTTTGTGCGCATACACACACACTCTACATTTTTTATTCAAACATATATGTATTCATACATTCATTCATGTTTTATTCATACATATACCACGTATGTTATTTTGCAACTTGCTTTTTTTATTTGCTGATATTTATTGAAAATTGTTCCATATCAGTATAGACACTAGTTGCCTCAGTCTAAGTGTGTCCTAGTGGCTGATCACTTCTCATTACTTTCACTGCTACCACGCACGTCTTATGCACTATCCTCTCCTGCGGGAGCCATCCTGTCTCCACTGCTGTCTCCTCTGCACTTCTACAATCTATTTTCAATATGGCAGCCAGAATGACCCTTTATATATGTGGGTCAGATCATCTTCCACTCAGAGCAAAGCCAAAGACCTCACCATCGCTTACAAGTTCTATCTGACATAATCTACCATCTGCCATCACCCCAGTTGCCTCATCTCTAACCACTCTCCCCCTAACTCATTCCATTCTCACCACTTCAACCTGCTGGGAGGTCCTTGAACATACCAGGTACGCTCCCACCTCAGGGTCTCAGCCCTTGCCACTCCCTCTAACTGAGAGGCTCTTCCCCAAACATCTGCATGGTCCCCCCACCCCCATCTCCTTTGTGGCTTTGCTCAAAGGTCACTTCTCATGGAGCCTTCCTTCACCACTCCTCCCCATTCTCCACAGCACTTGTCAGCATTGGATATACCATACAATTTACTTCTTTACTGTCTATATGCAAGCTCCATGAGACCAAGGATATTTGTCTATTTTGTCCACTGCTGTATTCTCAGCACCTAGAACAGGGTCTGGCATCAAGCAGACACTTAATAATATTAACGGAATGAGTGGATACATTTATGCAGCATGGGGCCGGGCAGAGTGGTTGACGCCTGTAACCCCAGCACTTTGGGAGGTCGAGGTGGGAGGACAGCTTGAGCCCGGGAGTTCAAAACCAGCCGGGACAACATAGCAAGACCCCATCTCTATAAAAAGTTTAAAAAATTAGTTGGGTGTTGTGGCATGCCTGTAGTCCCAGTTACTCCGGAGGCTGAGGCAGGAGAATCCCTTGAACCTGAGAGTTTGAGGTTGCTGTGAGCTATATGACGCCCCTGCACTCTAACCCAGGCAAAAGAGTGAGACCCTGTCACAAAAAAAAAAAAAAAAAAAATTATGCTGCATTGTACTTGGGTACTTGTATGTTGGTGTTCCATTAGTGTGACCCAGCTTAGTGTAGTGAAACCATTCCCACATTTTGGGACTTCAGTGTGCTTTTGGTCTCTTGTGACCTTGGTGAAGTTGCTTAACTTCTCTGAGCCTTGATTTTCCCTCTATAAAATAGGGATAATAGTTGTAGCCGCATTTTACGGGGCTTTTGTGAAGATTCAAGATTCAATTTTTTAGAAGAATGTATAGTGATTAGCATCATGCCTGGCTTATAGTAAGTTTTTAATAATACAGTTATGATTTCTCTCGTTATTAATTATTCATCACAAATGGCCTGATGAGAAGAATATATAGTTCTATCTATATTTCTCTCCAACTTCTTATTTTAAATCTAATAATGATGAGTTTTAATGATTATTCCCTTAGAATATAAGTCATTTTGTTCTTTTTTTTAGAGAGGTCATTCAACATCTTTAGAAAAAATATTTTAGCTCTTCAGTGGTAGAGAATTTTATCTTTGCATTTTCATTTTCCTGCTGGTCCCCAACAAAATACTTGCTCATTAATTTTGTTGAATAAATAAATGGAAGAATGAATCTCAATGGGCACAAGCGAGTTCATGTTTATCGAAAAGCTGCAATGTGCCAGGCACTGCCGTGGGCACTAGGGGTATGAAAAGGAACATTCTGTGGTTGAAGTTTATTTTAAGACCTCCTCAAGTAATCATTGAGTTTGGGGGAATGTACGTTTATCTCAGAAACAGTTTTCTAACTGGGGGAGGGGGAATTTGGATTCTTCACCTTGTACAAAGTGAAAACAAGAAAAAACTCCAGAAAGATATCTTTGCCACAATTTCTCTGAAGAGCTTTTCAAAGAAACAAAATGTCAATGGTGCGTCAAGGAGACAGCAAGCGTGAAGCAGCAGGCATGGCAGAGAGGGAAATCCTATGTTGATTCAAGACCTCTGTGAATTCCTGTGGTTCCGAGTAAGTCCCTGCACCCATTACTAACTGCTGGTGACACCAAGAACAAGATGAACAAGAGTATAACAGTGAGCCATGCAGCCTGAGGTGGAGAAGAAGCTCCATCTACCCTGGGTTACGAGAACTGGGTTAGAATCCAGCTTTGCACTCTGACCCCAAGCAAGACAATCCTGAGCCTCAGTTTCTTCACCATAAAATTATATTTTAAAAAATTAACCTGCTTCAAATGAGAAAGTGGGTGAGAAAATCCTCCAAATCCTGGAAACCACTGTACGAACGGGACTCAGGTTCTGATAGCTAGCGGAAGTCCCTTTGGACCATTCATTCAACAACCCCTTCGGAGTGCCTGCCAGCACTGTGCTGCCTACGCACTGGGGTATAGAGAGCAACAATCCGGACAGGATCCCTACCCTTAGCAAACACACCACCCACATCCAGGATTTTATCCCCAGGAAGTAATTCAACAGAAGCAAAAATATATTTGCAAGATGATCCTTGCAGGGGGCTTTGTAACAACCACAGAACTGGAAATGACCCAGATATTTACAAAAGCAGAGTGGCTTCACAAATTATGCATCCCAACATTTTGATTAAAAAGAATATCCAGCCTACCCACACCTACCGCATAGCAGGATCAGCCTGGCCCCTGTGGTGGTGGTGATTTGTTTAGGGAGGAGGCTGGTGACCCTGCCCCAAAGGGTGGCTGCTTGGAGGCTAGGACAGAGGGGTGTGTGAGGGTGACAGGTCACAAAGGACAGAGGAGGATAAATGGGGTGGTGCAAGGAGATGTAGGCAGAAGCCCTGCAGGGAGATGGGCAGTTGCCTTCACTCCCTCTCTTTCTCAGGGACTCAATTCGTGGCTGGCGGAGCTGTCTTAAATGAAGAGAACGATGAGCAGTGAATCTTTGTTACCTTATTACACGGCCCAAAGCTATCGTTCGATGGGTGTGTTCAATACCTCCATGGGAGACCTGCAACGACAACTGTTCAAAGGAGGAGAGTATGACATCTTCAAGTATGCGCCGATGTTTGAGAGTGACTTTATCCAGATCAGCAAAAAAGGAGAGGTGATTGATGTGCACAACCGTGTCCGAATGGTGACCGTGGGCATTGCCTCCACCAGCCCCATCCTTCCACTACCTGATGTCATGCTGCTGGCCCGACCCACTAAAATCTGTGAGGAGCACGCCAGACAAGGCCGGCTCGCCAAGGGGAGAGGTCGCAAGCCCGCAAAGACTCTAGAGCTCACCAGGCTACTTCCCTTAAAGTTCGTCAAGATCTCCATCCACGATCGTGAGAAACAGCAGCTGCGCCTCAAGCTCGCCACTGGCCGTACTTTTTATCTGCAGCTGTGTCCCTCTTCAGACGCACGAGAAGACCTCTTTTGCTATTGGGAAAAACTTGTCTATCTCCTGAGGCCACCAGTGGACAGCTTCAGCAGTGCCCCGACAGTTCAAAATACGGACACAACTGGGGACAGCAGAAGCCTAGGGGTAAGCATCCACAGAGACTCAAGGAGATGGGACCGGGGTCTTTGGAAGAGCAGCTCCAAGCTGGTCCTACAGAGCCTTGGGTACTCTCTGAAGCTCACCTGGAAAAGGCATTCCATTTGTAAGGGCTCAGGACCACATGTGTTACCACTAGGGGACTTGCCACACTGGGAGGTTCAAGTGCTTTTCCAGAGGGTCCCATAAGGCTGAATTTCAGAGACCTTAGGTGTCAGCTATTCTGGTCTCACACCCAGGGTTGTAATCCCTTCTACAGCATCCTGATTGTCCAGTGTTTTCCTGAACACTTACCACCCCAACCCAGGTAGTCTGGTTTGTTTTGGAACATTTTTAATAACAATGAGGAAGTCCTTCCTTCCTTTGAGTCATGAGCTGCCTCCCTGTGACCACCATGAGCTGCTTTTGGGGTAAATCAGCATAACCTGCCTGTGTGTGTGCATATGCACAATTTTAGTAGTCACCAAAATGCAACGTGTGTATCCCTTGACCTGGCAATCCCACTTCTAGAAGTCTGTCCTGCCGAGCGCAAGTGTGTAAAATAAAATGCACAAAGATGGGGGGTTGTATCAGTGCTTTCTATGGCACTGGAATTATTCAACCAAAACTGAGTGACCACTGGGCAAGAGGTGCCGTAGATGGAATCTTGCAACGAATGGGTGCAGGATGTAGACTTGATCATTTCAAAGGTTCTTCTAACTATAAGCCCTTGAGCTGCTCAGCTCTGGGATCAGAGAGGCACAGACAGTTCTGGTCTCCCTTTCTGTTGTCTCTATCTTACCTGTTTCTCCTCCCCTTGGTGCAGGCTGCAGAGCTCCATGGAGAAGGGGATCAGAAAGAGGTTCGGCTCCACAAGACTCGTGAGGTGTCTGCAGCCAACTCTTCTGCTTATGCTGGGGGAGAGGGAATCCAACATGCCTCCCGGGGAATGGCTGGTGCAGCAGCAGGGACAGCAAGTGGCATGGCAATAGCAGGGGTAGCAACAAGCCCTGCAACAGGCGCTGTGAGCATAGCAACAACCAAGTCCGCAGGCTCAGGCCAGGTGACCGCTGCCCTGGTGGGAGCGGCCACCAAGAATCAAGAAGAAAGTGAATCCAGCAAGACCGTGGCAGGTGCTGCCAATATATCCTCAGATGGCATTAACTTGGCCTTGGTGGGTATCACCAGCACCTCGTCAGCGGGGACTTCCAACAGGACTGCAGGGGCTGCCAGTCTCTCCCAAGACAGCAGCTCGAGCCTGGTGTTTGCGGGCACCATGACGACCGGCGCGTCTGCTGCGGTGGGACCCCTCGTGTCGACCTTGCAGAGTGAGGGCTACATGAGTGAACGGGACGGAAGCCAGAAGGTTTCCCAACCCTGTGCTGAAGCCCAGAAGGAAAAAAAGGAAAGAAGACAAAAGAAGGACAGAAATCCCAGTAGGAAAAGTTCCCATCACCACAGGAAAGGGGGGGAAAAGACCCGGAAAGCATCCTCCCACCGGTCCTCATCCAGCCCTAGGAACACAAGAGATGACAAAAAAGGAAAAGCCCACAGCCACAGGAGGAGCAAGAGGCACGGCCCCTCTCGCAAAAGCTCCAGCCACACCTCCGCCAGAAAGGAGTCGAGGACAGCTCACAAACTGGGCAAAAGCCGATCTGCAGCTAGTTCGGGCACTTTGAGTAAGAAAGCCAGTAAAATCAGCTCTTTTTTGAGGAGCCTCAGACCTTCTCCTGGTTCAAAAGCTGTGGCCCCACCGCAGGATACAGAGGTAGATATCATGACTAAGACGGTGGAGAAATGCAACATAGAGGCCAAGGTGGACAAAGCCCAGGATGGCAAAGAGCTGGAGGTGATCAGCAGCTCCATGACGTCTGAGACGATGGAGATGATAATCTTTGAAACCAAATCCATTTAAAGAGGAGCCAGGGCAGGAGGCTGCAACGGAGACCCAGGGCTGAGGCAAGTGTCCCAAGAGAGCCCATTCCATCTTTCTTTACTGCAGTTTAAATAATAAAAGAAACCGTACAACTCCAAAAGAAATGCCATCTCCTGTTTGAATTTCCCTGTCCCATAGCCTGGCAGTGACCTCACAGTGGCTCCTGTGATGGTGACTGCTGCAGCCTGAGACCCCGGCCATCTCTCACCCAGGCCTAGCAGAGCCAAGCCGAGTACTCGGCCTTGCCTCAACCCCTTCCTGCCTTTGGCTCCCCGAGACTGAAAATCACCAACTGTGAGCTGGGATGCACCACCACCACCACGTCCCAATGCCCATCCTCCTCTTCTCCCCAAAGATCGCTGAACATGGACGCTCGGTCCAGCCCATAGACTGAGCAAAGACAGGATTCGTATCCCCTCAGGGGATATTCAGGGGAGGAAGGGGAGGGTGCAGCAGCATTTGTAGGCAATTAGAATAGGAAGTGTATTTATCTAGGTGGGAAATTGACAGACCATGTTCTGAGGACCCAATCTTACCAGCTGCCTGGATTTGTAAATAAAGTTTTATTGGGGGCCGGGCATGGTGGCTCAGGCCTGTAATCCCAGCACACTGGGAGGCCAAGGTGGGAGGATTGCTTGAGCTCAGATGTTCAAAACCAGCCTGAGCAAGAGTGAGACCCCGTCTCTACCAAAAAGAAAACAATCAGCTGGGCATTGTGGCTTGAGGCTGTAGTCCCAGCTATTCAGGAGGCTGAGGCAGGAGGATCGCTTGAGCCCAGGAGTTTGAGATTGCTGTGCACTGTGGTGATGCCAGTACTCTACTCAGGGCAACAGAGTGAGACTCTGTCTCAACAACAGCAGAAAATCAGGATTTTTTTTTTTGTTTTTAAATCGCTGCCAGCCAGGTGGCAATCATACATCATTGTTACTGCCTTAGAGATGTCCTGAACAATTTATTTTACCAATGTCTTCCTTTTTACATATGTGCAAGAGAGGTTTATGACAAAATATCTAAGTCTGAAAGATATCTTTCAATAAGTAAAAATAAAAATTCTAAGTGACATAAAAAGAATACTCAGAGTACAGAAACATGGAAATGTTTAAATATACTGTTAAAAAATAATAGAATAGTCCAAAATACTGTGTACTAATTAACTATGTAAATCATGTGTACATGCGGAAGTTAATCCTAAAAATAAAAAACATAACTACAGTATACATTCTGAAAACCTGTATCGTAAAAAAATTACATCGTCTTTCACTTTTAAAAACTCTGTAAAATGAATGCTTGAAAATCATTACATTTTTAACAACAGATGATAAAAGTTGTATCTGAGAAAAACAATTCTGGGAACCATGTGCCTTTGTCTGAACCCAGGAAGGCGGGACCTGCCAAGCTTTGCAACTCTCTGCTCATTCTCCTCTGCACCAATATTACCTACCAGGACAGAAGCTGGGTTTCCAGGAAGACTTAGGGACCTTCTCTGAAAAGCAAATATGTATAGTAGAGGTGAAGGAGGTGAGAAACAAGGTCTTCTGGGAGGAGTGGTGGCCTGGCAGTATGGCGGAAGCCCTTCCCAGTTGCTCTGGTGGGTGGCTGGAAAATCCTGCCTTGTGATTTTTGGTAAAGACCAATAGATGCTGGGATCAAGAAGCCCTGGGAGTTGACTGTTGAAGCAGCGGGTACGGGTAGAAGGAGAGAGAGAGAGAGGGGCATGTTCTCAGAGGTCTGATTGAGCCTCCACGGAATGTTGGGTAGAGGAGAGAGGTAAAGGGGAACTCTTTTCAAAGCCTTTGGCCTGGAGTCCCAAAGTGACAGCTGTGCCAGAGGCTGAGTTATTCTAGCTACCAACAGCTTAACGTCAGAATTGCAAAGGCCATGGCTTTCTCTTTTGTCCTTCTCCTAATCTTGTTTTATGCACTCCCAAGCCCTCTACCTGAAGGCTTTCTTCAGCACAAGCATAGTTCATCCACCATGCAGGGCGCTCACTGAGCAGACCCACGATTTACACAAATGCCACTGAAGCAAAGTGGAGGTGGGGACCTGCCCACCACAGTGTGCTCTGCCTTGCGCTTTCTCTGCATTTCCTTTTCTATCTTGACACTTCATCAAGAGACATACATGCTTAAATACCGACGTGTTTCAAAGCAACAGGCCTCTTCCTCCGGAGGGAGATATCAATTGGAGCATCAAGTCAGTGCCCCATCAGATAAAAGCCACTGTTTTTATTTTTAATTTCAAAATATTATGGGGGTTACAATGTTTTTGGTTACATGGATGGCTTTTGTAATGCTTGAGTCAGGGATATAAGTGTGCCCATCACCCAAAATACTGTTCATTGTACCCATTAGGTAGGTTTTCACCCTTGCCTCCTCCCCCTCCCCCTGCTTGATTTCCACTGAGTTTTACTTCCCTCTGTGCACGTGTGTGCTCATCGGTTAGATCCAATTTAATAGCGAGTACATGCGGTGTTTGTTTTTCCATTCTTTAGATACTTCACTTAGGATAATTATCTCTTCCATCCAAGTTATTGCAAAAGGCATTAATTCATCCTTGTGTATGGCTGTGTAGTATTCCATGGTATACATACACCGCATTTTGTTAATCCACTCAGGAAGTGATGGGCATTTGGGTTGATTCCACATCTTTGCAATTGTGAATTGTGCTGTGATAAACATTTAAGTGAAGGTGTCTTTTTGGTAAAATGACTTCTTTTCCTTTGTGTAAATACCTAGTAGTAGGATTGTTGAGTCGAATGGTAGGTCTACTTTTAATTCTTTGGGGAATCTTCATATTGTTTTTCATAGAGGTTGTACTAATTTTCAGTCCCACCAACACTGCATAAGCATTCCTTTCTCTCTGCATCCAAGCCAGCATCTATCGTTTTTGGACTTTTTAATAAAAGCCGTTCTAACTGGGGTAAGGTGATATCTCATTGTGGTTTTAATTTGCATTTCCCTGAGGATTAGTGATGTTAAGCATTTTCTCATGTTTATTGGCCATTTGTCTATCTTCTTTTGAAAAGCTTCTGTTCATGTCTTTTGCCCACTTTTTAATGGGGTTGTTTGTTTGTTTCTTGTTGATTTGCTTTCGTTCTTTGTAGATTCTGGTCATTAACCCTTTATTGGATGTATAGCTTGTGAATATTTTCTCCCATTCTGTAGGTTGTCTGTTTGCTCTGTTGACTATTTCCTTAGTCATGCAAAAGAACAGCCAATATGTTTAACATCCATATTCATCACCATGGTAGCAATTCTGCTGCTGCAAGTGCAATGAGGCAATGAATAATTGATCACCACACTAACCAGTATCCCAAACTTAAAGTCTGGCATACACACATAAGTGCAAAGATGAAGAAGGAATATTTTGCTAATAGCAGTATAAAATCACTCATGGGATTGTCATGTTGGAGTGGAGCCTTTTGAGCAGAGGAAACCAGTGCTATGGTAGGAAGAAGCAAGGTGCCTCAAATATTGAAGGCAGGCCATCATCATGGCTGACAGGGCAAGAATGGAAGGAGAGATGCCAGAGAGAACAGCAGAATATGTAACAGAGGGAATGGCTTGGAAAAAATGGCAAAAATATTTTCTATCTCTTTAAAACATCCTCCACTCCTTCTTGAGAACTAAAGCCTGCATCCCTGCCTCAGGCCAGTGGGTGGGAAGGGCAGGGTAAGTCTTTTGTTTATTTGTGCAACAGGAGATGGCCCAGCCCAACCTGGTAAAGGGAGGTCCTGGGTGGAGACAATCATGAGATTGTCTTCAGTGGAAATGGGATGATTAGAATCATCAACTGTAGTTGAATAGTAATTGCCTGAAGCTGAGAACCCATCCTTTAAAAGCTCTGTATTGGCCAGGCATGGTGGCTCACGCCTGTAATCCTAGCTCTCTGGGAGGCCGAGGCAGGCGGATTGTTTGAGCTCAGGAGTTCGAGACCAGCCTGAGCAAGAGCGAGACCCTGCCTCTACTAAGAATTTGAATGAAAGAAATTAATCGGACAACTAAAAATATATATAGAAAAAATTAGCCGGGCGTGGTGGCGCATGCCTGTAGTCCCAGCTACTTGGGAGGCTGAGGCAGGAGGATTGCTTGAGCCCAGGAGTTTGAGGTTGCTGTAAGCTAAGATGATGCCACGGCACTCTAGCCCCGGCAAAAGAGTGAGACTCTGTCTCAAAAAAAAAAAAGCTCTGTATTTCTGTGAATGTTTAGGAAATTTGGATTTTGAGAAGAGAAGATCTACCATTTTTCTTCCTTTGCCGGTAAAGTAAATCTCTTTCCTGTTCCCCAGAACACTTGTCCTCGTTCTTCTGATTCGGCCTCATGGACAAGTGTCGAGTTTTCGGTAACAGGGACAGGCTATGTAAGGCTTTGAGGTCCATGTAAAGAACTTGATTTCTGTCCTCAGAGTAATGGGGAGCCACTGAAACATTTTAAGGTGGGGAGTGATTTGATGAGACCTGTATTTTGTAAAGGTCATTCCTGTTGCCATGAGAAGAAATATTTGGGAAGGTTGTCGTTAGTATCTGACCTTATGTCACTTCCTGTCTTTTACCGCAGGATCTATAAAATGAGATTAGAGGGGATGTTTTCAAAGACACTTTCTTGTTAGAAATATCCGTGGGAGGTGGACATGGTGATGCACCACCCAGACACTACTTGAATGAAGGACCAGTTGCTGATAATGTGACCCACCCACAGACAGCTTTCAGCTGGTAGTGAGTTTGGAAATTGTGTCAGCTGCAGAGAACTCTGTCATCTAAGGTGATGCTCTTCCCAGAGCCCACATATAGGACTGAGTGACACTGAGTGTAATGGTCTGGCCATCTTAGCCCAACACAGACCAATTCTCAAGGGTTATTCCAACTCTAGAGCTTCCTATGGGGCTGCATCAAAGCTCAACTTCTCCATTTGTGTACTCCTACTTTCACCTCCTTCCCTTCCACAGGTGCTGGTCCTAAGGGCACTCCTTAATAAACATCC